GTGTTTGTGTGTGTGTGTGTGTATGTGTGTGTATATATATATGTGTGTGTGTAATATATATGTTATATATACACTGTATATATTATACACACACATATACACTTTATAATATACACCTTGCTACGTGTACTGCATTAGGCTAACCGAGACTTGTCATTTGCACTTATATATTGTTGCTCTGCGTATAAAATAGTTATTGATTATGTTATAGGCCAGGCTACTTTAATCAAATGCAGTTTAAACCCGCAGAACATTTCACTTAGCCTATATGTAAAATAAAGCAATAAGCCCCAAGAAGCCGTGGTTTTACAACGCCCCTTAGATGTTATAAATTCACTGTAAACCACGGCTTCACGGGGCTTATTGCTTTATTTTAAAATATATGTAAACTTCTTATTCTAACATAAAAGGGCTTTAAAGTTGTGTTTTGGGTCATTATGCTTTGGCACAGTATCCGTCAAACGAACTCAAACCGAAAGCACAATATGCTTCATCTCTTCATCAAGTCTGTTTCAAAGTGAAGCACACACTTGGTTCAGACGATCAGCTCGTGATCCGGTGTTTTCTGCGTCTCAGAACGACTCGTTCACACTGAATGAATGCAGACAACTCGTTTATCACACGTTCTGTGAGTTTAGCGCACGTTTGGGAACACAGCTTTATTTTCGCCAAGCAACACACAAACGTAAACAAAGGTGTATGTTAGTAATTTACAACAGCTTCGAACGCAGCTCAGCCAATCACACCTTGTTCTTAAAACTAAACTTAAAACATTCCCTGTTAAATGCATTTCAGCTACTTTTTGTTTTTGCCTGTTCACTGTAGCCCTCCGTACTGTCTCACAGTTATGTTTGGACAAGCAGAAGTGTGAGTTTAATCTTCAGCTCCTCGGTATCCAATATTCAAAGCATCTCGCGAGGTCGGATCTCCGCGCCGGGCTGCTGATTTTCGCGGGAGAGAGCGTGCGTCCAGGTTTGCATGTGACGTCAGGGCCCGGTGACGTCAGAGCCCGTGTCTGTGTGCTGCTCTTCTCAGGCTCTTCGGCCAGAAGTTGTTAGTCAGCTCGGGACGAGGCCGTTTCCCATTCCATTTCCTCATCTGGAGCCTTCTGCCTTAACCCTCCTGTATGGTGGATATTCTACCCCATCCTTCTTTCTTGGGTGATATGGGGGATCATTCAAAAAGTAAGTGCTGGATGTTTATTTGACACGTTTTTCGTCATTGAACAAGAAGTTTGAATATCGTTTATGCAAAAGTAGTTTCTGGCTGCTTGACACCGTTTTGCAAACAATAATGACATTTAACATTGTCAAAAGCTTGTATTGCATTAATAACATTTATTATTTTTCTCCTAAAAAAAAAAAAAAAAAAAAACACCACATGTTTGCATATTGAAGCTGAAGTCTTCATTTGGCCCCTGCCTAGATGGATGTTCAAAAAAAAAAAAAAAAAAAAAGCACGACATGTTTGCAAACAGTTTTTGGTGCAGCCAAAAACACGAACTATTATAATGAAATAAAACTGAAGGAATCGACATTATGTGGTCTAGCGACATTCAAAACGAGGATGCATGCCTGAAACATGAGCTCTAATGTAGCCTATAATGATATATTTACACGACGCCGGTGTTTTGCGGGACTGAATAGGGGTGCAGTCGGTGGACACTAATCCCTGCTTTCCACATCCAGAGAAGTCTGGGATCGCCATGTGTGTAGGCTGTGGAAGTCAGATCCATGATCAGTACATCCTGCGAGTGTCCCCGGACCTGGAGTGGCACGCAGCCTGTCTGAAGTGCGCAGAATGCAGTCAGTACCTGGACGAGACGTGCACTTGCTTCGTCCGAGACGGCAAGATTTATTGCAAGAGAGATTACGTACGGTACGAGCCACTCTATATTTGTGATTTCACAGCTTTGGAATTCCGTCGAGGCCCCTTTTTTCACAGATTCTTGACCCAAACAGATATAGAGATATGGGGAAACTCTGCAATAGAGTTTTTACCATGAACTAACGAATAAAAAGCCTTTCTGCGAAGGTAAAAATATAGATTACAATTATATTAGCTAGCTATTACATTAGGTCTATAATATATAATATACTTTAAATATATATATAAAAAAAGCTAAGATATCTAGCGGAAATGATATATATATATTTTTATTTTTTTTCAGCAAAATTCCAATTGCATGTAAATATTTCATGGAGTAGCCTATTTGGTTAATATTGCAGTCATGTTTGATTTAGGCTTGCCATGCTTGTTTTCTAGTAGGTAGCCTACCGTGTTTGTTCAGCTTTGTTTTCAAGAAATGTAATTCCGTTGGTAACAGTTTCTGTAAAGCCTGTAAGGGTATTCTTGGCGATGCATTATAATGTGTTCATTGTGTCTAATACACATCATATGCAATCAACTGCATGCTCTAATAAATATATGCAACCTCAGATATAGCCTAATACACTAACGTATAATTTTGTAAAGGCTATAACGTATTAAAACAATGTCAAACACTCAGTGTTAGAATGTATTCTCTTTAAACTCTTTTGCGCCCAGAAATAAATGCGTAACTGTGCTTACAAATAATCATGAAAGAATAAATGCATGTAGGCTATTATAATATTGCTTTTATAATGCATTGTATAGATGCTTTAAGAAAAGAGTTAGGCCTGTCGTTGTCTTTACGGTCCGTGTTTCTCTGCCTTGTAAAATCAAGCTGAGGTTTGGCTGAACGATTTTGGAAACGAGCACTAAAATAAGCAAATGTTTCTTCTGGAAACTGCAGGTTATTCGGGATCAAATGCGCCAAATGTAACACCGGTTTCTGCAGCAGTGACCTGGTGATGAGGGCGCGGGATAACGTCTATCACATGGAGTGTTTCAGATGCTCGGTGTGCAGCAGGCATTTGCTCCCGGGAGATGAGTTCTCTCTGCGGGACGAGGAGCTGCTCTGCCGGGCGGACCACGGGCTGCTGATAGAGCGCGCTTCAGCCGGGAGCCCCACCAGTCCCGGAAACATTCACCCCAACAGGCCCCTGCACATCCCAGGTAGCAGTAATAATACTATTACTAATAATAATAATTACAGTGCACAAGATACACATTCGGGAACTCGGAATTTATTAGGCTAAATAAGTCAGATGCTGTAGTAAGCTAACAGCAATAACCGTTTAGGTAGCCTATTATAACATGTAAAAATGTTTTACAATTACAATAATATTATACAATATTATAATACACTCTTAAAAATAAAGGTGCTTCACGATGCCATAGAAGAACCTTTTTGTCTAAATGGTTCCATAAAGAACCTTTAACATCTGAAGAACCTTTCTGTTTCACAAAAGGTTCTTTGTGGCGAAAGAAGGTTCTTCAGATTATAAAAAGGTAAGAAAGAGATGGTTCTTTAAAGAACCTTTGACTGAATGGTTCTTTGTGGAACCAAAAATGGTTCTTCTATGGCATCGCTTGAAGAACCTTTTGAAGCACCTTTATTTTTAAGAGTGTACATAAATATAACAACAATAGTAATGTCGTTGTTGTTATAGGCTAGTCGTTGTGAAATAATACAATTACGACCAGTGTGAGACTTCTGTCTTTAATTCTGTGTGTTACAGCTAATCAGCTTGTGAAACTGTTGCAGACTGAACCGAGTAGCTTGTGTTCTGTGCCTGCAGGCCAGTTTGATGATATTGTTTTCGTGTAAAATCCCTGATGGCAGACTTGTAAATGGCTGAGATTGTTTGAGGATATTTTTGATTGGATTAACATGACCTGAAATTAATCGGAAACCGGTTATTGGCATAATGATTTGAAATTATGGCCACAGCGTTTTTCTTAGTTCATTAGCTATGTTTTAATTAAAAAAAATGCCGTAATATTGCGATCTTTTAAATCAAGATGTCTGTTATTATAGGCAGAATTTTGAGTGTTGGCTGTTAGAAATCAGAGCTATCATATATATATATATATATATATATATATGGCCTACATTATTGGTTATTTAGGCGTCATATTTAACAATAAATTTCGAACTAAAACTGCCTTTAGATCAGTTGACTAAAATAACCGGTGTAGTAGCTAAATGTTGAACATGCTTTGATATCTGGCTCGCTGACTTAAACAGCATTAAACCATACAAACAGTATTCTGTTCGATTATGTGTCACTACTTAACCCTCTTATTACTTTGCAAGATGGTGCACTTATTGCATGTTATATTTTATATCCTTTGTCGATCTTTGAACATTTTGCACAAACAGCAAAGTTGAGAGCACATTGAAGGCCCTATGGTGTTTTGACTGACACGCACTTGGCTACAGACCGATGTGTGTATGCACAATTTAACCTTCAAGTAAGCGTGCTCTTCTGCAGTGTGTCTAAATAATGAAATCACCCCTTAAGCCGAAAAGTGATTTATACGCCTTTTATTCGCAGAACCTGTGCCAGTTCGACAGCCAGCTCACCGGAACCACGTTCATAAGCAGTCTGAGAAGACCACGCGTGTGCGGACAGTATTAAACGAAAAGCAGCTCCACACTCTCCGGACGTGTTATAACGCAAACCCGCGACCGGACGCGCTAATGAAAGAACAGCTCGTGGAAATGACCGGCCTGAGCCCACGCGTCATACGAGTGTGGTTTCAAAACAAACGCTGCAAAGACAAGAAGAGGTCCATTTTTATGAAACAACTACAGCAACAGCAACACAGCGACAAAACGGTAGGAATTTTGCAACTTAAGGTTTAACTTAAACTTGTTTCGTTGTCGACTCTGTGGGCTGTTCTTCAAATAAAGTTTCTTCAGTGGTTCTTTGCAGCACCTTATCAACCCAAATTTAGGCTAATCCTTATCATTGTGCTGACTTTGGAGATTTAAAAAAAAAGTTCTTGATGTCACATAATAGGTTTTTCGGCTTCTTATATGGTATCAGGCAAGTTCTCGTTCTGTCGTTTATTTTTTATATTTATATTTTTATGCCACAGAAGAACCGTTTTGGGTTCCTCGGAGAACCTTTCAGTGAATAGGCCTACTTCTTCAAATAGGCCTATCTATTTTTTTTTCATAGTGTGAAGAACATTTTAATAATTTAAAGAACCTTTTTCCACTATTAAAAAAATAACTTTTAAGGTTCCATGAATGTTAAAGGTTCTTAATGGAACCTTCGATGCCAATAAAGAACCTAGTTGTAAAACTCAACTCTGTCTTTCTATCTATCTATCTATCTATCTATCTATCTATCTATCTATCTCTTCACTAAAGCGCTAGTTGTTCATAATATACATTTTACAAATCAGACTATATTATTACATATAGCTGTGATGTTTTAAAGATTTTGAACATCTGTGAAATTCCGCTCAAAGTGTTAAGCTTCTTTGAAAATTGAAATGTGATAGCTAGGCTATGTGTCGCTAAGGTCTCCTCTACCTTTCTGCAGAATCTTCAGGGTCTCACGGGAACGCCTCTGGTGGCAGGCAGCCCGATTAGACATGACACCACAGTCCAGGGAAATCCTGTAGAAGTTCAAACCTATCAGCCTCCGTGGAAAGCCTTAAGCGAATTTGCCTTACAGAGTGACCTGGACCAGCCTGCTTTCCAACAGCTGGTGAGGACTGCCATCCCTGAACAGTTATTACAAGGCCTATCATGCCGACTCTTTTCCTTTAAATCCAAATGATCAATCATACAATTTTAAAATTTTTCACATTTTAAACTTTTGTTATATTGGCTTTGGGGCTCCGTACGTTTGCCAGTTATTTCAAATGGACATTTTGCGTAAAATCTAGCCTAAAAGAAGAAATATATAGGACTAAATATAGCCTATTCGTTAAAAATGTTTTTAAGTGTTTCACTACTAAAGTTATAGCCTATTAGCTACAAGTTTGTATGAGCACCAACAGAGCGTTTTCCGTTAGCTATCAGTATAGGCCTATACTGAGCGATACATCGACAAAATCAAGTGTAATTATTTATTATAAAATGTAGCTACATGTCGCAAGCGTAAGAGAAAAAAACGATAGTAGGCTATTTAAAACGATAAATTACATTTTTGTTGTAAGGGCGTGAAAACAGACTATCTTTGCAAACAGATCGCGCGACATTTGTAATGGAATTGTTTTGGAAAAGTTGAGCCCACACTTGTAATTCGCACACTGGTTGTTATCTGTAGCATATATATTGTCATTATTTAACAGCATGCCAAAGTTCTGCAGGCTTTTGTAAATGTCAATTGCAAATCGTATGTAAAACTCTGACATTTAATCAAATTCGGGTCAAAGCTGTATTAGCCTCAGCATGCTGACAGCAAGCGAACAGCCCACTGATTCCCAACTCTTCCCCTTTTCTATATAGGTGTCATTTTCTGAGTCGGGTTCGCTGGGTAACTCGTCTGGTAGTGATGTGACCTCTCTGTCATCGCAGTTACCCGACACCCCCAACAGCATGGTGCCCAGTCCCGTGGAGACGTGAGAGCCCACCGGAGACTCCCGCCCCAGCATGCCCTCACTCGCCCTGCATGAAAACCCATCACCTCACCGCCTCAAACGGAAAAAGGGATTAACCGAGATGGATTTAAACAGTTTGCCAAACGGAGGAGCCTGTCCAAGCGACTTTGGGGTTTCCAGACGTGTTACAAAACTGTTTTTAAAGCATTTGGACGGTATATCGAGGACGTCCAGCGGAATATGAACACGTTATTTTGGTTTTGATTATGGATCACTGTCAACCTTACGAAACAACAGTCTTAACAGTGTTTATTCAAGACCATCATTGTGTAGCTTTATCAGCAAGTGGTATTTTCCTTATAAGACAAAAATCAACTTTTTGTCTTAATGCGCATGATCTCTACGATGTATAAAAACTGAGCTGTAAAATATTTCAAAGTAACGAATGGAGGAAGGATTGTATAAACTTCTCGATTTAAAAAAGTAAGTTATTGTTATTTATTGTCAGGACAACCGTCCATACCAAAAATTGAGAAATTACCTAAATAAACGACGTTAAATGCTGTTTATGTCTGAGGAAGCCTGCATGCAAAGACAACCATATCATGTTACCTTTACATAGCCTATCTTTTTATATTATAACAAGAGACACTTCAGTTACAAAGGTATACTGTTTACTGGACTGGAAATAACTGTCCAAAGATCTAGTAAAAAGAAAAAGAGCAACGTGAACAGAATTAAATAGTGAATGACATTTCAGTGTCGTGATTTCTGAATTTATTCTGAAAAGAATTTGGAAATTGGATTTTGCTTTTTCATCCAGTTATGCAGACGTACTACTTTTTTTTAAACAATAGCTGGGTTAAATTATACATTTGCTTTTTTAGATTATAGACATAGAGACGGAATATACTAAATATAAAGAACCGCATTATGCAGAATTTGTTCTTTGTTTTGGGGAATACGCTTCTAATTCTGTTCTTCCAAAGTTCGGTTATGGAACCTCTAAGACTGAGCACCAAAAGGTTAGATGCCGTTCGTAAAAGTGATAGGCTTATTTATAACAAACTGCTGCCCAATCACTAATAAAGATGCTTTGACATATTGAGGTCATAACTCGATCACAGAACCCTGAACTGTCACATTCAACTCTTAACGGAGGCTACGAATGAATATACATCTATCTATCTAAAAATCATGCCGAGCGGATACTGAATGAGTAATTGAACCCCTCCCGTAGAAGTGATCAATCTCGTGTTGCTCGTAAAGCTGTGAGTCTAGACGGAGGACTCAGGGATCGGCGGCCGCTTATCTGCGCTCGGCATCACCTGCAAATGATCCACTGAATGGAAGCACAACAAACCCGAAGCCACCTTTCTCTTAACGGGACTCGCTTTCGGCAAACGCACCCTTGCATGTCCAGGGTTTATTTTCATTGCGAGTCAGAAGATAGCCGCTGGACACCAGAAGATCAGACCAAAATCACTGCGGGCCATTGTGGCAAGATAATCCCAGTTTGTCAGATAACCAAACTAAGGATAAGCAGTTGTAAAACAGCTCTATAGCCTATTAATTTCTGTTGCTTCAGTTATTTTCCCGCAATTAATTCAGGCATTCAAACGATTTTTTTGCTTATATAGTTTTTGTTTTTAATAAATGTTTGACTCTTAAAGCCTGGAAAATCACAAAGGGATCTTTGTGGGTTTTAGTCCATGTATTTTTAAGATGATGTTCTGCTGAACGCTAACAAACACTTCTAGCAAATATGTGGATTTAATGCGTAGTCTACAGCTTCCAGCAAAACAGAACAACATTATTGATGACTCATTCTGCACTACTGATTTTTGTCCAATCAAACGCTCTCTACAATGACAACGCCCCTCCCTCCATCAATGACTGAAAACGACTAGCATCTATGAAATCATTCAGATATGCATACGTTTCTATATATTATGCAAAAAGCAGTATGCTATTAACAGTGACAACCTTAATGTCCGCTCTTTTTAACTGTAAGTGTTATATAGATACCAAGAAAGATTAAATGTGTGGTTAAATTTTGACGTGTAGCATAGTAGCTAGCTGTCATTATGTCCATAAATGTAGGCCTATACACAATACATAGCCTAACTAGAATAATAGTGGAGAATTAAGTTCTTCATGTTACATATTCTGAAAGAATGGGAATTTCGTCGAAGCTATAAATCCGGCTTTCCAAAACAAGCCCTTGAACATGTTCCTCTCTAGCTTCCTCTTTCAACAGAAAACGTGTAAACACAAAAACAGCGATAGTTACGCGATTTCACGCGGTCTTTAGGAAAATCTGAGGTGTTGTTACAATGTTCTCTATTCAAAATCTAACAGCAAAATTTCACAGCGATTAAATACGCAAATATAAGATAGGTTATTGTATTTCAATTTTTATTTAACGATTAGCCACCTTTTCTGACGCCGGAGCGCATTCTGTGTGAAAGTCCTTAATCTGTTTGCAAAGGCAGACAAAACACACATCTACACCTAACTAAAGCCTTAAGCTATTGTACCTGCTTAAAACCTTAACACGTCTTTTGCTGTCTTGTAAGCAGGTTACTGGTATTTCCTTCAGAAAAAGGAAAAATGAAATGTTGCCTAAATTGTATCAAGCCACGTTTTAAAAGCAAGTCTTCATTGTAAAATCATATAATTCTTAAAAAATGTAAAGCGTTTAAATTCCTGTCAAATGACCAATCTTAGATGATTTTTCATTGCTAAACTGTCTTCAGATCTGATCCCCATTAAATCGACTGAAATTAAGACCGCTTAAATAGATTCAGATTGTGAATGAAGACGGTTTGTCGAGATCAGCGCTCATGGATAGATGCTTAGGGAGAAACAACGATTCAGATATCATGGCCAGAGGTCAAGAGCCACATCTTGTTTCAAATTCCGCCACTAATTTAATAATTTAGGCCTAATTAAATAAAGGCACACTTAAGCCAAGTTCATGTTTGCATAAAACAAATCTTGAAATTTTTGCAAATTACAACTCTGTCCTTGTCTGTCATTTTAATTTGAAAATCAAAGTATTTAGCTAACCTTTGGTTTATAAATCTAAACACCAACCTAAAACAATTATTCGACTTTTAAAGCTAAACATCTAATAGCCTACATGTCCCTTTATGGAAATGTTGTGTGTTAGTTCAAATGTTTAAATTATTCCTTGCAATTAATTTTGAAAGCTGTCACGACAGACAACCTCAAACCTTGAAATATAACGAAATAATCTACATCCAAATATTTTGGATGCTGACAAGAGGCAAGAAATGTCAAACACATTCAGGGCTTTTCTTCAATCATATTTCGTTGTTGCCTGTTGTAAAAAAATATTGATTTGCCTAAAATATCAATTTGGTTGGCCTATTATATATATAAAACAGCTCGTAAAATTGACAAGGTATACGAAAATGAACTGGGGGAAAACTGGAAAAATTACAAAGGTATTTAAATAAGAAAAAATGAACAATATTAAGTAGAACTGAGGCTGCATAAAATGCTGCAAAATAACTCTCGCCATTCTTGAACACAAATTTAATGTTCACACCAATCTGTTTAGTGAAACAAACATTTAAACTAGCCTAATAAACTTTAACTAAATAAAATCCCGAAGCGCTTTGCCATTAATTAAACCCGTAATGTACCTAAATAATTGTCAGAATTTTTTTATACTAATTTTCCTACAGATACACTGTTAATCTGTTTCTTAGTATGGTGCGGTTGATAATGATGTTTATTTCTTAAAGCTGTGTTTTGTACACCTATAAAAACATTCTGAATGTCACCATAAAAACCTTTATTTTTTACACGTTCACAGCCGCATTTCTTAATTAAATGTAGAAAAAGACATTCAGACAACAGATTTAGCAAACAAATCCAGTTTCTAACCGCATGAACGCTCATGATTCATTAGCTGACAGGACGGAAAGGGCGACAGCGTTCTTCTGTTCGAGTTCACTTCAGTCTGCCAAAATCACGAGAACGTCAAGATCTCCGATGCTTTTGAAAAAACAAATAACGGAACGGTCTATAAAAACAGCTCCCATTCGAGCTGTCACATATAAGTACTAAGTCCACCAACCAGATCCCACATAAAATACATGCATTTTACAAGACTGAATCTAAAAGCAATATATTAAAAAGTCTCGGACAATCCAAATGACCTTAATTGAATATTTTTTTCCATATTTGGAGCAGAAGTGATGGTCTTATGTAACTGAGGTGGGTCTGACCCAGAGGCTCAGCGCTTGTGTTGACACATCGGTGTATTGAGTGACTCGGAGAAGGCGGAGTGGAGCTGCTGTGACTCACACAGGTACAGAAAAGGGACAAGCGGTGTACATAGACTGAGTGTGAGAAGAAAAAGTGTATGAGAGAGAGAAGGTTTGAGCAGAAGAACGGCGGGCTGTTTGTGGTGCCCCAGGGCCTTTTACAACCCTTTTACAATGCCGTGTAACCAACATCGCAGGTTCCAGCTCCACTGTGTTTCCCTGCGAATAAATTAGCAAGTTAGCCAATAAAAGCTCTCAATTAAAACACATCCCATGTTGCTTATTTTTTTTTATATAGAGATGTTTATAGCTATAATAAAAGAGTATTTTTTTTTAAATATAAATAACCTCCAGTATGCTTAAACATCACAATTATGCATGGGAATAGTGTATAACGGTGTGATTATAGATATATTTTAGAGTCAAGTTGCAGAATGTATAGAGGGATCCAAACGTCTGAGACCACATTAAAATCTGAGATTCAAAATCTGATTTAAAACTGGAAATAAACAAAGCTGTCGGAATTTTAAAACACTTCACATTTGAAAAAACTACAAGAAATATTTCAGATTTTGTACTATTTCTGGTCACTAATATTATAACCAGATGTGAACTCTTTGTACAGATGGTCAGATGTTCTTTGGATCATCTCAAATAGTGCTGGACAACATCATGATGAGGTTTGACGAACTTTATGCAACGCAAGTGCTACTTTCATTAAAAAGCAAATACTTAGATTTTCTGTAATTATTTTTTTTCTTTCAAGTTAAATTTGTACTCAAATGTTTGCAAGTTAAAACATTTGTATTAAATTAGAAAAACTCAAAATAGAAGCAATTTCATTAGTTGTCCCAGACTTGAAAATTAGAGACCCTATAGCTCTCGACTGCGTATATATTCAAATATCCAAAACATATTCTGGTACACAATATTTCAAACCAAGCTACAATGAAAGAACTCAAAGACTGTGCAGTTTTAAATATTTTTTTAAACACGTCCATGTCTTAAATTAAACTTAAGTGCTTCAATGTGTAGAATACATCTTCACTGTGTATAAATTACAGTATAAAACAAGCAAAAATCACAACAAAAATGATTAAAAATCATAGCATGTCAGCTACAGGAAGAAATCTTCCACTTTATGCATAGAAAAACTGGAACAAGAAAACCAACGAATGAGGCAACTCGTCATTCTCCCTTAATTAAACGAGTGCTTCTGTTTATTCTGCATCATTCCCCAATATCTTTTTATGTACAAAACAACACAATTACAGTCAAA